TTCAAGATACTTGGAATCAAGAGAGTTTAGCAGTCACCATATAAATGATAATCTTATGGTCTTGCTCATCTTCTGCAGATCTAAAAGGTTTGGGCTTGCAGACAGGTTCTTTTAGTTTGAGGCAGATTAAAGCAGCTACCAACAACTTTGATCTTGCTAATAAGATTGGAGAAGGTGGTTTTGGTCCTGTTTACAAGGTATCAAGCACTACTAATGTTCCCCCTTAATCCTAGGGAAAGCTTGTTTAGAGCTCATGGTATTTCTTAAATGCAGGGCCAGTTGACAGATGGTAAGGCTATTGCTGTTAAGCAGCTATCAGCGAAATCAAAGCAAGGAAATCGCGAATTTGTGAATGAAATTGGCATGATTTCTGCTGTGCAACATCCTCATCTTGTAAAGCTATATGGATGTTGTATTGAAGGAAATCAACTCTTGCTAATATACGAGTACATGGAGAACAACAGCCTTGCTCGTGCATTATTTGGTACATTTCTAAATGCGCTTGTAGTTTTGAAAAGGGGTCCATGAATGAACTTACAAAGTGGCTATTAACCTTTTATTTTGAATTTCTCAGGCCCAGAAGAATGCCGGTTGAAATTAGATTGGCCAACTAGACAAAAGATCTGCATTGGTATAGCAAGAGGTTTAGCTTATCTCCATGAAGAATCAAGGTTGAAGATCGTGCACCGAGATATCAAGGCTACCAATGTATTGCTTGACAAGGATCTAAATCCTAAAATATCTGACTTTGGACTTGCCAAGCTTGATGAAGAGGATAATACCCATATTAGTACTCGCATTGCTGGAACTATGTAAGTATCATTGCTTCCAGTGCTTGAATATAATTAATGATAGCTGTTTAACATTTTATATGATAATTGAATTATTTGAATACCTAATATAGAAAATACATTCTATGTATCCTTGAATTTGCAGGGGTTACATGGCTCCTGAATATGCAACACGGGGTTACTTAACTGACAAAGCAGATGTTTATAGTTTTGGAATTGTGGCCTTGGAAATTGTCAGTGGAAGAAGCAACACAATTAGCAAAACAAAAGAAAATAGCTTTTATCTTATTGATTGGGTACCAAAATTCTCATTCTTTCTTCCACTACAATATTCATTTTGTTGAGTTTGCAACCTCAAGAAAGCAATATTTTTCTTGTTTGCAGGCTCTTCTTTTGAAGGAGAAAGGCAACTTGTTAGAATTAGTTGATCCAAGATTGGGATCTAACTACAACAAAAATGAAGCAATTAAAATGATAAATGTGGTACTGCTATGCACAAACCCTGCTCCAACTGCTAGGCCTATTATGTCTTCTGTAGTGAGCATGCTTGAAGGGAAGACTAATGTTGATGAGTTGAGTCTCGATCTTGGTACATCTATAGAATCATTGAGGAAATTCTATCAGACTCTTGAAGAAGAAGGTGCTCAAGAAAACCAAACACAGAGTACGTTAGTAGAATCTTTGCGACTTCCCTCTTCTTCTTCATCTGCAGCTGACCTCTATCCAATCAATTTGAGCTCTAGTTATTTGCAAAATAGAGATTAGAACGAGGAGAATTCTGCAAATCATCTTGCTATTGGCCCTGAGAACATTTATAAGTACTTAAATTAATTTGGATTTTAGATTGTTCGAGTCTACAGAACATATATCATGTTAAAGCACAGTTGAGGTTTGAATTGTGGCATCATTGTAATATAGTTTGGTAAGGAAATACAACAATGATAAACCATCTGGTAGAGGAAGGACATTCAATCTGTTTACCATCACCAACTTCAGAATAAGTAATAATGTGTATGACGTGTTCTTTATGGATAGAAGTTAGGCTTCATAAGCAGAACAGACATAGGA